TATCCCAATCGATCATGGTGCCACCCGCGTGGTGTCGGATGGCAATTGCTGCGATCTTGCACACGTGACTCATGCGAGATTCGCATCTGGCAATTTGTTGGCCTGCATTGCCAGCCTCCTGAGCAAGATTATTAATCCACGGGAACTCCTTCACGAACTCGTACCGAAAGACCTTCCACTCAATTCCTTCGTCACACGCCTTAGCGTAGTCTGGTTGAACCTCCCGTAACCTCGTCAGTGAAAATTTCCCTTGGTGCGAGATTATGTCGAAACGCTCTGGCATGACCGTGGGTACTGGAACCCCTGCGTTGATGCAACGCAAACCCATGGATGTGTGGCCGCACGTATAGGATGCGAACTTTGCATCGCAATCATACTGCGGCAGCTGGCCCGCTGAGTCCTCCATTATTTTGAAATTGAAGTTCTTGATTGCATTGTACTCAGGCGTGCCCACTGGTGGAAGTTCCATGCAAGCTGGATTCTGGAGGGCTGAGTTCTTGAATCCATTTTTGAAGATCTTGGAAATCAAATCCATAACCTCGCCCGGAATGATTCCATCTCCGTAACGATTCTCTGTGCACACCATCATATACTTCGAGTGTACTTTTTCTACCCTCAGGCAGTCGATGCCTCTTGCAATGGTGCATACGTCTTCAAGTAATGAGACCACCGCTGCATCACTATGCAAGCACATGTCCTTGATGGCCATCATCTTGGGGCGGACCTCCGCGATCTGCTGTTCACGGGAGGCGTTTATCACGCCGCGTGCAGGAGGACGCCACAAGCGCCAGCAGCAATCCTCGCCCAAACGGCTGGAGCCCAAACTCTAGTGACATTCAAAAACATGTGCAACAGAGGGTTGCGAATTCGAAATGATATGTTGCATTTGCAATGCACAACATTCTTGTAACGCTCGATACAATATTCTGAATGCGTTCGCACGCAAGTCTGGATCATGATTTCCGATATGCGTGATCCCGAAAATCCAAACACATGCATGCGTTTCTGGAGGCAACATCCAAGGACAACCCGATGCAGCAGCTCTGTTTTCAAGTAAGCATGTAAAAGTTAGCGCAGTTAGCAACTTCGCTAACTCAAGCTATCTACCTCCAAATGCACCGCCCGAGTTAGCCGACTTAGTAACATTACTAATGGTTATAACTTACTTGCTACCTAGTTGCAACTTACGTATAACCTACTTACAACTGCTGCTAACAATTAATAAGGCCGAGGGCCTTCAGGTAGTGACCCCCCCCGGTTTTCTGGATCCGGAGGGGGGGGGGGGGGAGGGGTTCGAACCGGTAGTGACCCCCCCCGGTTTTCGAGGGGGAGGGGGGGGGGGGGAGGGGTTAGGGGGGGGGGGGTTTTGCCGGGAGGAGGGGGGGGGGAGGGGGGGGGAGGGGTTCGGCAGGGGGGGGGGGGGGATTTTCGGAGGGGGGGGGGGGGGAGACCCCCGGGTTCCGGAGGAAAAGGTTGGCAATTTTCCACAGTAAAGCGGCGGTGGATCACGCTCTCATACAAGAATCCTTGAAAAAACCTTTCTGGGAAATCAATGGCGTTGGCCTCTTCGGGCCCTCTCAGAGGACCTCTCGGAGGCCTCTCGGGCCGTTGGAGGCCTCTTGGGCACCTCTTGGGCGGACTTGGAAGTATCTTGGACCCTTTTGGGCCGTCTTAGAGGACATCTTGGACAATCTTGGGCGAACTTGGAAGCCATCTTGGGCCATCTAGACCCTCTTGGAGGCCATCTGGTCTGATTTGGGCCTCTTGGGGGCCTCCTGGAGCTTGGGGTTGGGGCCTCTCTTGGGACTTTTTTTATAGCTCTATTGGACCGTCTTGGGCTCTTGTGGCGCCTTGGGGGCCTCTTGGGCCGTGTTGGAGCCATCTTGGCTGTCTTGGAGTGCTGCCTGGCTGTCTTGGATGCCTCTTGATCCCTCTCGAGCACGGCTCGTCATAGGGGCCTTCGGGCCTCTGGAAAGGTCACGCGAGGAAGCCAGGTAGCGCGCGGGAGCGCCAAGAAGGTTTGAGCGTTTGGGCCCCTTGCCCATGAGATATTTTTTTACAATTCCGAATCCAGAGTACAGAGAACTATCGAGGACCTGGGGAACACTCCACTTCGTGCCTCGAGGCACGGTGGCGGATATTCAGTGGGCACCCAGGCCCCCGAAGCGTCTTTTTCGCAACATATTGGCCCCCAGAGATCTCAACCCCGTCCCGGTCACTGTTTATTCCTATCCCGAGTTGTGTTTTGTGACGGCTCCGTGGCCCGTCGAGGGCCTCCAGAGGCAGAAGTTGGCCGAAAGCATTCCGTAGTTCGAAGAAAAACAGCATAACCATCACCCTGCGACGTTCCCAACCCACGTGCATCAAGTGGCAAGAGGAGTAGGCCAACATTAGCAGGAACAGCGACAGTGTAGACGCGGTGAATTGCTGCGCGAACTACATGGGATGCGCATGCGTTGCACGACTCACAGGACGACGATCCAAAGAACGAGGATTGAGGCCCCAGGCTCGAAGAATAACGGGGACAGGGACGAGGGGCAGGAGAATAATGGAATGGGGGGTAATCTGAATCTGCGTATGACGTAACTCCGCTGGGCCCTCCAGCAGCCCTCTAAAGTGGCGACAGTTTCGCAGATCGCAGCCCCCCAGGGATGGCGAGGTCTACTCTGAATCTGCGTATGACCCCACTCCGCTGGGCCCCCCAGCAGCCTTCGAAAGTGGTGACAGTTTCGCAGACCGCAGCCCCCCAGGGATGGCGAGGTCGAATCTGAATCTGCGTATGACCCCACTCCTCTGCAGTTTCGCAGATCGCAGCCCCCCAGGGATGGCGAGGTCGAATCTGAATCGGCGTATGACGTCACTCCGCTGGGCCCCCAGCAGCCCGCGAAAGTGGTGACATCTTCGCAGATCGCAGCCCCCCAGGGATGGCGAGGTCTACTCTGAATCTGCGTATGACGCCACTCCGCTAGGCCCCCAGGCAGCCCTCGAAAGTGGTGACAGCTTCGCAGAACGCAGCCCCCCCCAGGGATGGCGAGGTCTAGTCTGAATCTGCGCATGACCCCACTCCGCTGGGCCCCCCAGCAGCCCTCGAAAGTTGTGACAATTTCACAGATCGCTGCCCCCCAGGGATGGCGAGGTCGAATATGAATCTGCGTATGACGTCACTCCGCTAGGCCCCCCAGCAGCCCTCGAAAGTGGTGACAGTTTCGCAGAACGCAGCCCCCCAGGGATGGCGAGGTCTAGTCCGAATCTGCGCATGACCCCACTCCGCTGGGCCCCCCAGCAGCCCTCGAAAGTTGTGACAATTTCAGAGATCGCTGCCCCCCAGGGATGGCGAGGTCTAATCTGAATATGCGTATGACCCCACTCCGCTTGGGCCCCCAGCAGGCTTCGAAAGTGGCGACATTTTCGCAGATCGCAGCCCCCCAGGGATGGCGAGGTCTACTCTGCATCTGCGCATGACCCCGCTCCGCTGGGCCCCCTAGCAGCCTTCGAAAGTGGTGACAGTTTCGCAGAACGCAGCCCCCCCCAGGGATGGCGAGGTCTACTCTGAATCTGCGCATGACCCCGCTCCGCTGGGCCCCCCAGCAGCCTTCGAAAGTGGCGACAGTTTCACAGATCGCAGCCCCCCAGGGATGGCGAGGTCTAGTCTGAATCTGCGTATGACCCCACTCCGCTGGGCCCCCCCAGCAGCCCTCTAAAGTGGCGACAGTTTCGCAGATCGCAGCCCCCGCAGGGATGGCGAGGTCTACTCTGAATCTGCGTATGACCCCACTCCGCTGGGTCCCCAGCAGCCCTCGAAAGTGGTGACAGTTTCGCAGATCGCAGACCCCCCAGGGATGGCGAGGCCGAATCTGGATCTGCGTATGACCCCACTCCGCTGGGGCCCCCCAGCAGCCCTCGAAAGTGGCAACAGTTTCGCAGATCGCAGCCCCCCCAGGGATGGCGAGGTCGAATCTGAATCGGCGTATGACCCCACTCCGCTGGGCCCTCCAGCAGCCCTCGAAAGTGGCAACAGTTTGGCAGATCGCAAGCCCCCAGGGATGACGAGGTCTACTCTGAATCTGCGTATGACCCCACTCCGCTTGGCCCCCCAGCAGGCTTCGAAAGTGGCGACATTTTCGCAGATCGCAGCCCCACAGGGATGGCGAGGTCTAATCTGAATTTGCGTGTGACCCCACTCCACTGGGCTCCCCAGCAGCCCTCGACAGTGGTGACAGTTTCGCAGAACGCAGCCCCCATGGATGGCGAGGTCTACTCTGAATCTGCGCATGACCCCGCTCCGCTGGGCCCCCTAGCAGCCTTCGAAAGTGGTGACGGTTTCGCAGATCGCAGCCCCCAAAGGATGGCGAGGTCTAGTCTGAATCTGCGTATGACCCCATTCCGCTGGGCTCCCCAGCAACCCTCGAAAGTGGCGACAGTTTCGCAGATCGCAGCCCCCCAGGGATGGCGAGGTCGAATCTGAATCGGCGTATGACGTCACTCCGCTGGGCCCCCCAGCAGCCTTCGAAAATGGTGACAGTTTCGCAGATCGCAGCCCCCCAGGGATGGCGAGGTCGAGTCTGAATCTGCGCATGACCCCACTCCGCTGGGCCCCCCAGCAACCCTCGAAAGTGGCGACAGTTTCGCAGATCTCAGCCCCACAGGGATGGCGAGCGAGGTAGGAGGCAGGGGGGAAGCAGGAGGGAAAGGAGGAGGGGGCGGGAGAGGAGAGGAGCGGAGTCGCAACCGCAGCTGCACTATTCAAAACGAGAACCCAACGCGGGAGGGTTAGAAATAAAGCTTCGACGGTCCGCGCGGATTTCTCGGATCGGCGCTTAGCCCCCCCTGCTTGGCGGCGCCTCCGGCGCCGCCCCTGGCGCGCTCCGCGCGCCAGATAGGGGGATCCAGCGCCGATCCCAAGAAATGCACGCGGGGCTCCGAAAATGTATGCTCATGCATTAGTTTATCATTCTAGTCGTGTTTTGTATTCAAACCGCGAGAGAGTCTGGGCCTCACAGGTCTTCGACATCCTGCCCATTTTTGGCAAGATCGATCCTGGAGAATCACAGGTGGTGACCTTCACCTACTACGGCGTCCGCGACAGGGCATTCAGGGCGTCGGCTGTCTGCGCGGTGGACGGAGGCCCAGAGTACGAGGTGGTCTCCCCCTCCTCTTCCTCCCCCTCCTCATCCTTTGATTTTGCTTCCCCAGACATCCAGCGGATTTCTCTTTCCGATCGCGTCGGTTCTTTCGGCCTTCTGAGGCCGTTTTCTGGCCACGGGGCCATCAGAAATGGATCCGGGCCGAAAAATCGCCTCCAGGGAATGGGGTCATCGGCACGTCAATCAAGAAACCAGTCTGCCGGAGGATGTCTCACGGGAGTTTCTCATCCCCCGATGGTTTTGTGCGCCCACAGGAGCCCTTGGGGCACCTCGCGAAGCTCAAAGCTCGACCGCAAATGTGACCCAGGTTTCTTATAGCACGTTTTCTCATCGTTCGTGTCCACTGTATCGGGTGTCAGTGTCTGATTTCGGCGACGCTCTTCCTTCTTCTACTCCTCCTCCTCCTTCTCCTCCTTCTTCTATTCCTCCTCCTCCTCCTCCTCGTGCTCATTCTCCTGCTCCCCCTTTGCCATGAGGTCAAGCTATCTGGCAGCGCTGCCCCATGCAAGTATGGCCTCGACGCGCACGAGCTCGACTTCGGAGATATCCCATTCATCACCTCTGCGGAGCAGGAGGTAATGCTCTCGAACCCTGGCAAGGTGACAACGAGCTTCTACTTCAACCTTGCGAACGTATCTCGGCCAGGAATAGTCGACGTCCACCCGCAGTCAGGCGTGCTCAACGCAGGCGACAAGCAAAAGGTGCAGGTCCGCTTTAGGGCTGGCATCCCCGACCGAATCGAGGAGAAGGTCCGAACAACACAAACATTCAGAGTCATACACTATTCGGATGTCTGCGTGCATTTCTTGGGTCGGCGCTGGACTCCCACTGGCGGCGCCCCCCCCAGCGCCGTCCCAAGACGTCCGCGTGGACCTCCGAAAGTTTGTGCTTGCGCTCTTGTTCGGTTACTGCCGTTCCTGCAAGAGGTGCTCGTCGAGATCGCCCACTTCGCCCCTGAGGTCCGGCGGCGTGCAGAGGGTGAGTGGCGCCAGGGGGGGGGGGGGGCGGCCTTCTGGGATTCAGGAGGGCTGGGCAATTTCCAAGAAGGCAGGGGGGCCTCTCAGTCAGGGCCTGGAGGCTTCCCCTGCCGTCTACTTGGAAGCTGGATGTACATCACCCGGCTGGTCTGGGCGGGAGCTGGATATTCATGACGTGGCCAGATGCTTGCCGAGCGCTCGGCGTTTCTGCGGCCGTGCAGAGCCAGGCCTCCCCGTGTGTGTGTGTGTGTGTCCAGCGCATGGCCTCTGGATGCTCCGCGCGTGAATCCAGCCATGTGTGCTTCCAGCTTCCTGGTGAGAGGCCCCCCCGGCGTCTTCGAAGGCCACCCCCTTTGCCCCTCCCCCCCCACCCACCCACCCTCCTCGTGCGCGCCGCCCAGAGGTGCTCACCATCCGCGGCAACGGCACCTTTCCGGGAGTCGTCCTGGAGCTGCCGCGCTGGAACGCCGAGGCGCACGAGGCGGGCCGCCGGGAGGCCGTGCAGAGGCTGACGACGAGCGCCCCGGCCGCCCCTCCAGACGCCAGCGAGGCCAAGGAGGTGTCGCCGACGAAGGTCGAAGAACAAGCAACGGCGCACGACAGGCTCGCGCCGCGTCGACGCCGCGGCGGCCCCAGAGCGGGCATTCGAGGTTGAGCGTCAGATGGCCTGCAGCGGCTGATACCGAACAATCTGCGACATCAGGAAGCCGCCGTCGTTCGAGCGTCGTTCCAGGTTGAGCGGCCCACGCGGTGCCAGCAACCAACGCCGATGTCGACACGGCAGGAACCGGTCGTGAGCATACACCCTGTGAGGTCCGCGCGGATTTCCAGGGGCGGCGTCGGAGGCGCCGCCGGGGGTGTTGGGAGGGGGGCCCAGGGCCGACCGAAGAACTATACGCTACGCGGGGACCACCAGAAGTTTATGTGTAAGTGGTCTCTCTGGAAGGCGAAGAAGATGTTCAGGCAGAAGAACTTCGACTTGACGAAAGCGTCCAGATCCTCGACGATCCTCGACTCGGGGCTCGACCTCCTCGAGGTCGAGTGTGAGGTCGACCGCTTTAACCTCTGCAACGAGCTGCTGGAGCAGGCACGCTTGAGGGCCAGCGGCGGCTTCCAGGACGCGGCGCGCTCCTCGACGGGCGCCAGGGCCAGGATGTCCGGCGGGATGGCCAGCCCGACGAGCACGAAGCGGCTCCGGAGCACGAGGTCCGAAGCGGTGCCCACGATCACGGCCGCGCACTACGTCTGCGACTTCGGGCACCTGCCCCTCGGGCACGTCAGTCACAGGCAGATCGTCATCCTCAACGGGTGCAGCGAGGCGGTCAACATTGCCATGGACAAGACGGCTCTCCAAGAGAACGGCGTCACCCTCGAGCCGGAGAAGATCAGGTCCATACCCGCCAAGGGGTCGCAGGCTTTGCAGCTGAGCGCGACGCGCCCCTTCGAGGAGACAGAGGCGAAGGTGGAGTTCGACTGGATGGTCACCGTCAAGGGTGGACCGACGTACAAGATTAGTATGATTGCCAACTTCGTTATCGAAGACGCCTGCGGCGAACCTCCTTTGCCCCCTGAATGTTGGAAGCGCCTTTGTGGAGCTTTGTTGGGCCAACGTTTGGCCAAGCTCTTGGACTAGGTGTTCCTCCAGCCGTTGTGGAAACCATTCAGGGAACACTTTTGGGAGAAAGACAAATAGGGGGCTGAGGGGAAGGATGATGATGATGATGATGATGATGATGGTGATGATGATGCTGATGATGATGATGATGATGATGATGATGATGATGATGATGATGATGGTGATGGTGATGGTGATGGTGATGGTGATGGTGATGATGGTGATGGTGATGCTGATGGTGATGGTGATGGTGGTGGTGGTGATGATGACGAGTGGGAGGAGGAGGAGGAGGAGGAGGAGGAGGAGGAGGAGAAAGGGGAAGAGAAGGAGGAGAAGGCTGGACGAGGATGAGGCGGAGGAGGTGGCGGAGAAGGCCTCTTGGGGATCTTATGGAGTTCCCTAAGGGCGTTATGGCGGCCCCCTCGAGGCCTGAGATCTCTTGGGGGCCTCTGGCGGATGCGGAGCCAGGGCCCGAATATCGAAGAGTTGGCCGCGCAAGCGATGCAATGGCCACCTGTCATTTGCACAGAACTAGAAGAAACGCAAGCAAAGCTCAATGTAGGAATTGCGCTTTAAACACAAGCGAAACCAAGAAGCAAAGGCTTGACACGATTCTGTCCTCCTGGATCATCCCCGAGGGCTTCCGAGACAGCCCACTCAGAGTCCAAGCGGGCCCCTCGACGGGCCGCTGGGACCATCTTAGAGCATGTTGGAGTTTAGGGATCCCAGCGGCGCCCGCGAGGCCCCCCCCGGAAAAGTGATGCGGGAGACCCTGGGGAGCTCGCTTGAGTGTCCATGAACGCCCGAAACAGCCCAGCCATCTGGGGTCTGGGGTTTTCAATCGTTAGACATAACTACTCCAAAGCTCACGGTAGCGGGGGGCGGGTTGAACAAGTGTTTGACAGTTCGTCTGGGACCCCCCCCCCAGAGAGCGGTGCAACAACGGGTCGAGCACCGTGACCACCAACCAATTTTGTTTGACGAGGCCCGTTAGACTCCCCACAGAAGTAGAACTCACCCATTAATATTTTGACCCAGAGTGCCCAGTGCTGAGGACAGTTTTGGGCCTCAGGACGCTCCACTCGTTGCCTGGGGCACGGTGGCGGATTCCAGATTTCCTGGTGTCCTCCAGTTCGATCGACTTCGGCCGCGTCCTGGTGGGCACGCAGAAGCGTGTGACGCTGGAGTTCAGAAACCACAAGACCGTCGCGGTGGACTGGTCATTTCAGGAGCCGAAGGGCCCCATGAACAAGAAGCTGCCCTGGGATCAGGTGGTCTTCAGCCTCACGCCCTCGTCTGGCTCCCTGGCGCCAGGCGCTACGATGCTCGTCGTAGCGTCTTTCTCGCCGCACGAGGGGAAGCTGTGCTCGGGCAGCCTGGTGCTTCGTGTGCGCGACAATGCCAAGAAGAAGGTTATCCAGGTGTCTGGCCGCGGAGACCTGCTGCGCCTCGACGTTAGACCCACCAGTGTCTACGAACTCGGGCCTATCATGCCCAAGAAGCAGGAGGCACAGGAGGAGCTGGTCCTGTACAACCCGACGGACTACGCCATCGAGGTTTACAGCGTCGATTTCGACAGGATGTACCTCGAGGAGGAGCGCGCCCTGTTGGAGTTCGACGGCTACGAGCCTGGCTTCGAGGAAGTTCCAGTGCGTTACCCGGGCGACGGCCTATGGAAGAAGATCGCGAAGCGGGTAGTGGCGCTGCGCCAGGGCGCTTCTGCTGAGCTGGCGAGCGAGGGGCAGATCGTCGACAGGGCGGAAGGCGAAACGACGGAGGAGGTCACTGGGGAGGAGGAGTGCGTGAGCCCAGAAAGACAGGCCATCGAGGAAGCGGCGGACAAGGACTTCGATGAGGGCGAAGACCGCGTCGATCCCATGCGGCCGCCGTACCGCGTGCCCACGGCGGACCGTGTCAACGCACTCATCTTTGGGCCGCCCAAGGCGGGGCTGAGCACACTGGCGAAGCACCTGGCGAGCGAGGATCATCGCAAGGTTCTCAAGTTCGATGACGTCATCGACTGGGCCGTCAGATTTCCACGCTTCCTCGTCAGCGACCGCGTAGCCAAGCGGATTGGTGAGAAGATCAAAGGCAAGGAGCGTCCGACTATTGAGGAGGCGGCGCATCTGCTGCGGCGACGCACCGAACTGGCCGACTGCAATGCAGGCGTGATCGTGGACGGCTTCTACAGCGAGCACCTGCACGCTGGCCAGGTCGTCGAGGCAGTCCTGGAGGCGTTCCGTGGCCAGAGCACGGTCGTGATGGCGACGAAGTTGCCCACCGCAAGCAGGGAGCGCCAGGACAGCCTCTCGGCGGAGTCCAGCCGCTCTGGCAGCAAGACTGCCGAGGAGCCGCAGGGGCCGAGCCCGGCCGGGGCCCTCCTGCGCAGGCACTACGAGGCCCTGCGTCCGCTGCTCGCCGCCCGCGTGGAGGAGCTGAAGGGGTCGCTGCCAGTCCTGGAGGCCGCTCTCAGGGCGGCCGAGGACGAGAAGGCCGCGCGTCTCGCGGCATCGGTGGCCGAGCAGGCGTCGGCGGAGGAGGCCGATGAGGCGGCTGCGGCGCCAGGGGAGCCCGCGGACGAGGAGGCGGCGGGCAGAGCTTCCAGCGCCGCGGAGGAGACGGACGCAGCGGCCGCCGTGGCCGAGGCGGCCCAGAAGGTCGAGCAGGCCAGGGGAGACCTGGCCTCGTGCGAGGCCGCGCTCGCTTGGAAGCCGCCCCTCGCGCCGGGCCAGGTGGCCGAAGAGGTCGCCGCGGCACCGAAGGCCAAGGCCAAGGCGAAGGGGAAGGCCGCGCCCGCTCCCGCGGAGGCGCCTCCGGAGCCGCAGGCCGAGGCCGCAGACATCGCGGTTGAGCACCTGGTGGCCACCTACCTGGACCAACATGTCGTGGCGATGGGTGCGGTGGTGCAGTTCAACACGCGGGCCCGCCAGGAGGAGGAGGAGAGGCAGCACGAGGCGTTCAGGAGGGCGCGCGCAAAGGCGAAAGAGCGCGAGGCAGCGGCCGCCGCAAAGGCGAAGGCGGCAAAGTCCCTGGGCTCGTCCGCCAGCGCGGCGAAGAAGAACAAGCCCGCGGCCGAGCACGACGGTTCGGCGCACGAGGACTTCACGCCAGACATGGACAACTGGGTGGACCCGGTCTCCGCGAGGGAGCTGCCGCTCTGCGAGGCGCCCTTCGAGCTGCTGTTCGAGGAGGGGCGGAGCGGCCTGCCAGCGGCGCGCATCCCAGCCGAGCCGCCGCTGCCCGCCCCCTCCGTTGTGCAGGTGCTCTCGAGGCCCGCGCAGCGGGAAGCGCGGGTGCCGCCGCCGAACTTCAAGATCCTGACGCCTGTGCCCGCTGCCACCTGCGGCTCGGAGCGGCCGAGCTCTGCTGCCCTCGGCAACGCCGTCGGCGCTGCCTCGCGCCCAGTCTCCAAGGTGCAGGACGAGGTGCAGGGCAAGCGCCCCAGCCAGCAGTCCTCCCAGGACGAGCCCCAGAAGCCGACGCTGGTGCCAGACATCACGCGATGGATAATCGAGCCGCTGAGCGAGCAGCGGCTTGTCGTGCACTTTGCTTCAGAGGAGGTGGGTGTCTACGAGTCTACGCTGAACTTCGAAATGGTTGGCGGCATCGCGTCTGGGCCCATCCCCGTGAGAGTGACTGGCACGTCTGCGCTGCCGGCAGTCAATTCTGACACAAGGTTCATCTTCCCGAGGCAGAAGAAGCGGAGGCCGCTGGACGGCTACGCGGTCAAGACCTTCGTCACCTCGCTGAACACGTATGACTTCGGCCCACTGCTCGCCGGCCGGGACCCAGAGAGCCGTGCCGGCGCCGCCGACGACGGAAGCCCCGCCGCCGCGGACGGCGATCCGAAGCCTGGCTCGGCAGGCAAGGATCCGAAGTATGACAAGTTTTTGTCGAACCACGCCGAGACGATTAAGATCTCGAACGATTCGCTGTTCCCAGCTAGTATCCGCCTCAGCCTCGTCTCGCAGGCTGAGGAGCAGAAGGAAGATCCGGCGCCGCCTCCGCCAGAGCCGAAGAAATCTGCCAAGGGCAAGGAACAGCCCCCTCCGGTTGTGGAAACGCCGTACTGCCCATTCATCATTGAGCCGTCTGTGCTCCAGCTCGACGTTGGCGAGCAGGCAGATGTGCGCGTCTGGTGCTTCCCGAAAGAGAAAGGTGTTCTCGAAGACACGCTGCTGGCCATGGTGGAACACAATCCCGACCCTGTCACCTTTTCTCTGTGCGCGTTGGGCACTGAGCCAATTGTCATCTTGGAGACCGAGGAAGTGGACATGGAGCGCCTGCTGGTCAACTGGCGTGCCGAGGAGCGCCGTGTGCGCCTCAAAAACGCCAGCTCCCTACCCACCGCGTGGCAGCTCGTCTGCGACGAAGCCCAGGTCAAAGAGTCGCCTGAGCCAGTCCAAACTGGCGGCGCCAAGGGGAAGGCTGTATCCAAGGAGCCGTCCAGAGGCAAGGCCCCTGCCGCTAAAACGGAAGGCCTCGTCAGCCGGCAGGTCTCCGAGGACGACGCCCCTGCCATCCCAGAGGAGTTCCAGGTTGAGCCATTGAAGGGCAAGCTGGCGCCTGGCGAGGAATTCGAATTGCGCATCAACTTCAAGGCAGCGAGGGCCATGGACTTCAAATGCGGGCTTCGCCTGGAGTGCAAGGACTGCGAGGGCTTCAAAGGCTGGGAGTCGGCGGGACGTTTCACCGTGCACGCGGAGACATTCGAGGTGGACATGGCCATCGAGCCCGACCCATCGACCTCGATGCTCGACTTCGGCACAGTGCTCGTGCACTCCTCGGTGGAGCGCACCTTCGAGATTGTCAACCGCGGCCGTTTCGCCGCTCGCTACGAGCTGCAGGTGCGCAAGGCCCTGCGCGACCTGCTGGTCATCGACCAGGCGCAGGCTGAACTCGCACCTGGCGCGCGCCGCACCGTGAAGGTCACCTGCATGCCTGTCCGCGTTTACGAGTCTTTCATCGACAACAGCGGCATATCGGCCTTGGTTTTCGACACGGTGACGGGCAATCAGGTGGACCAGAAGCTCCCGCCCGTTCGCGTAGGCGTCACAGCCGTTTACAATCAGTTCCAGGTGACGCCGCCGCGCAGCGTGAACTTCGGACCGGTCGAGAAGGGCGAGACTGTCACGAGATCTTTCAGCGTCCGCAACATTGGCTTGTTTGCTTTCGACTGGGCGCTATTCGACCAGGCAGAGCCGCCCGCCATCGGCGATGACGGAGCACCTGTTCTGCCCAAGGACGCGAAGGACGGGAAGTTGAAGGCCGGGCCGTTCACGGTGAGGCCGTGCACTGGCAGCCTGGAGCCCGACAGCGACGCGCAGGTGGAGGTGACCTACGAGGCCCAGGGCGACGAGGACTACGAGTCTAGGCTCGGCCTGTGGGTCGACGGGGTGGACTGCGCGGGCACCGAGCAGAGGGTCGGGTCCGCGACCCAGCCCGCCAGCACAACGATGCAGTCTTTCAATGGCGTTTTTGGCGGGCCTGGGGGCGTCGGCGGAGTCGAGGGTGCGGCAGCTTACACGCTGACGGCCAAGAGCTGCATCGCGGGCATCAACACCAAGGACCTGCACACGATCTTCGAGGAGCAGTTCTTCAGCAGGAATCTGGAGGACGCCATCGCCATTGCGGGCCGGGTGGACGTGCGGGTGTTCAGCGAATCCGACAACATCTTCCATTTCGGCCCTGTGGTCGCGCACGGCGGCAGCGGGACGCAGGCTGCAGACGTAGAAGAGAAAGGCGTTGTGGAGCGTTTGAGGCTCTCCAATCCGAAGGCCATCCCTGCCAAGGTCGTCCTTTCAGTGAAGTCAAAGGAAGAAGCAGATGCGTCTGCCAAAGATAAAGGCAAAAAGGGTGCTGGCGAGGATCACTGTGCGTTTGAGGTATCGCCGAAGGAGCTTGTGATCCCGCCGCGCGACTCCCGGCAGATCGAGGTGAGCTTCAGACCCAACAGGATCGCCACCTTCGGGGCTCTGCTGGAGGCCAATGTGATTGGCGGCACCGATCCTGCGACGAATCAGCTTGCATTTGAGCTGCGCGGCGACGGCGCCTTGCCCTCTGTGAATCTGGTGGGCCCCGTCCTCGTCGGCGACAACGGCGTCAGTGCTTTGCAGATGGGCAGTCTTACGGTCGGCAAGCGACACGAGGTTCGCATGGCACTCAGGAACAGCGGCCTGCTGCCAGCCACAGTGCGGGTCGACCTTGCCTCGACGCCGCATTTTACAGTAGCGTGTCCCTACAGTGTTTCGCTGGACAAGGGCGAGGAGCACACGTTCTCAGTTTGCTTCCACCCGGCGCAACCAGGGCCAGCGAAAACGGAGCTGAACATCCGCACCTTGGGCAACCCATTCGAAGACTACTCGGGGCCCCGCGCCATCCAGGTCCTTGGCGAAGGTTTCAGCGACCAGGTCGCATGGGACCTCCACGAAGCCAACGTTGCGCAGGCGCGGCCGGCCGAGGGGCTTTCCCAGGTGTCTGCGCCATCGCCGCCCAACGACCTCCAGCTCGGCGAGGTCGAGGTGGGCCAGGAGGTCCGCGTCACCTTCCAGCTTGCCAACAACACCGCGCAGCCCATTCGCTTCGAGATGCCCGAGTCTGCGCCAGCGCCGTTCGGAGCACGGCTGACAGTGCAGCCGTCCACCGGCTTTGTGCAGGCTGGCGCTCAGCAGCCGGTCGCTCTCACGTTCAAGCCCACAGAGAAGCTGGAGGCCAAACGTGTGCCTCTTGCTTGCAAGACCTTCGAGGTGGAGATCGAGGATGAGGGCGCTGACGGTGGTGAGCCCAAGTTCAAGGAGCTGCCGGGCACGATGCGCGAGGTGCCCCTGGTGGTGAGCGCAATTGCGGATGTGCGTAGTATCCAGTGCGAGACCAGGGAAGTCAAGTTCTCGGAAACGTTGATGTTCAATACGAAGGTGCACCGATTCACCATGCGTAATCTTTGTGGCATTTCTATGCCCTTCCAGTGGCATGTTGAGGGCGACAACGGCCACGCCTTCTCCGTGGAGCCCTCTTCGGGCGTGGTACCCCCCAATGCCGAGAAGCAGGTGGCTGTGCGCTTCGCACCCCTGGAGGTGGAAGACTTTGGCGGTGCCATCGTCTGCAAGTCTATCGCTACGTCTGACTCAGGGGAGCCTCCAGCGATCCTGCGCATCCCGGTCTCTGGCTCAGTTCTGCGACCCTGGTGCCGTGTGGAGCTGGAGTCTTCAGACTACCCCTCCAGACGTTTGGCGGACTCGCCCCTGGATCCCAAGTGTCGGGTCTGCGAGATCACCAGCCTCGGCACGAACGTCAAGAACGTTAAGCGCTTTTACGTGTCCAACCCCACCAGCGAGTCTATCGATTTCATTTGGCAGAAGGAGACCCCGACCGGCCCATCGACCGCTGCTCAGGCCGAGGACGATGACACGCTCCGCTGCCTCACGAAGCGAGGCACAATCTTACCAGGCAAGAAATTTGAGATGGCCTTCGAGTTCGCGCCCTCAACGGTCGAGACGAAGGAGTCGTTCTGGGTGTTCATGCTCGTCGGGCCCAGGGTTGAGGAGCACTTCTTGATCGCAGGCACCGTGGAGCAGCCGCGCGTTGGTTTCGACCGTCCCCACATCAATTTCGGCGAGCGCCTTCTTGGAGGTTCAACTCAGGAGACCCTGTCCCTCGTCAACAAAGAGCACATCCCCTTCAGTTTCAGCATCGACCCGTCGAGTTTCCAACTCGAGGGGCATACGCAGGCGCTCTCGATCAAGCCTCTCAGCGGCGTCGTGGGCCCAAATTCGAGCCTGAGCCTGCAGGTCACCTTTGCTCCAGAGGAGGAGCAGCCTTTCAACTTCAATGTCGTCTGCAACGTGAAACGGAAAAAGGACCCCGCCATCCTGAACGTGAAGGGCATCGGGTACAAGATCCACGCGTCGCTGGCAGTGGATGAGCCGGCTGGGCGCCGTGCGATTCAGCCTGGCGTCGTGGAATCATTGGATTTTGGCTTGCTGCAGGTGCACGAATTATCCTCCTTCTCCTGCTCTTCCTGCTCCTCTTCCTCCTCCTCCTCCTCCTCCTCCTCCTCCTCCTCCTCCCCCTCCCCCTCCCCCTCCCTCTCCCTCTCCCTCCCTACGCTCGTCGCCTCCTCCTCCCCCTCCAGCTCCCACTCCTCCCGTCCTGTCCCTCCAGGACACATCCCCTCCCACTCCTGCTGGAGGTGCACGAGCGGCGCACAATGAAGCTCTACTTGAGCAATGACACCAATCGGAATTTCAACTACAGGTTCCAGATGAAGTCGGGCGCGCAGCGTCGCACGATTGCCATCGGCGACCCTGATCAGCCGCCGTACCTGGCCTTCTCGAACCTGCAGGGCGTTGCGGAGCATCAAGCGGAGACCCCGATCGAGATCACGTATGCGCCGCGTGACGCCCACTCGCTGGACGGCAGCACGCTGCAGGTTATGGTGCCAGCTGGGCCGAGGGAGGACCTGTTCACCCTGAATCTTGGTGGCTCCGCCAAGAAGAGCCGCGTGGAGTTCTCCTTCGTCAGCCACGACTTCGGGCCCTGCTTCGTGGCAAAGGGCGGCGCCACGGCCGCTGGCGAGCCGCTGCAAGATGCGGCGGACCAGGGGCAGGAACGGGTGGAGCTGGTCTGCACAAACCGGGACGACAACGATATCCACATCGCCACGAACTTCCAGCGAGAGCCATGGCTGGACGTGCAGCTTCACTCTGCCATGGTGGAGGCGGGTAAGTCCATCCGCATTCCCATCGTCTTTTCTCCGAGGGAGGTATGCGAGTATATGCAGCGGATCGAGTTTTCGATCAACGAGTACACGCGAACTGCGGTGGACATCCGTGGAAGGGGCTGCCCGATGAGGCTGGAGGTTGCACAGGCCGAGATGCAAAACGTTGATTTCGGCGTCGTCACAGGAGGCGAGGTGCCAATCAAGGCCGTGAAGCTCGCGAATCGCTCTGCGCGCCCGGTATCATTCGAGCTCGTGGACGAGAACGGCGAGCTGGCCGATCGGACAGTGACGTGGGTTCCTGGCCCGGGGACGACGCAGACCCTGAAGCCGAAAGAGAGTTGCGAGGTGGAGCTGCGCTTCGCGCCGACCTATAGTGTCAAGCCCTTCAGGCTCCCCCTCTACGCCCGCTGCAACAACGGCGTAGAGGTGAAGCTGCTCCAAGTGGCGGGAACCGGCCACTCCACGGAGGTGCGTCTGAGCGAGCAGTCCCTCTTCTTCGGCAACGTGGTCGCCGGATCCCAGGCGTCACGCTCGATGCGGCTCCACAATTTCGGGGACATTGGTGCTAAGTTCCGGTTCGAAGTCCCAGAGAAATACAGCACTGTCTTCAGCGTGTCTCCCTGCGAGGGTTTTGTCCGGCCGCAGGAAGATGTCTCGCTCACCGTGACGTTCTCGCCTACGGTGGGTCGCGCCCAGGCCGCCAAACGGACCAGCAAGAGCCCAGGCCGTAAGTCTGTAGCAGACGCGCCCAAGGATGTGGGCATCAGCACTCGCGACATTCGCTGCGTGCTCGACGGACATCCGCCACTTACGCTGGAGGCCAGCGGTCGCTGCGTTTCGTTGCCTGCGGAGTCCAAGGCTCTGGAGTTCAGCACAGAAGTGCGGACAAAGACGCAGAGCAGCATCACCATCAACAACCCGACAGATTCTGACTGGAAGCTGTTCCCTCAGGTGTCGACGACAGAGCCGTTGGGCGAGGCTTACTTCTTCTGCCCCAAAGAAGTCGTCGTGCCTGCGGGCAAGCAGATTCCAGTGGAGGTCACCTACATGCCTCTGACGATGACCGGCGACAAGGACGCGGCGGGGGCGCGAGGGGCACCCGCCTCGAGGTCGGAAAAGCATCGCGGCACCATCTTTGTCGGCACGCCAGATGGCAGCGCCCTGTCGTACACCTTGGAGGGCGTAGCACTGCCGACAAGGGCGAACCAGCGCTTGGAGGCGCAGGTGCTCGGAGGAGGGAAATTTGCCAGTACCACTAGCCTTCCCTCGTTTTCGCCTTTTTGGGCCTCCTGGGATGCCCTCGTCGCCACCGCTGGTTTCGCTTGAAAATCGAATCAGAAGCACCCTAGGATAGGTGCGGGGAGTAGCGGTATCGGTACCTATGGGCTATTGGTGTTCACAGGTACCTTGCAAGAAGCAGCACGTACAGAAGGTCCCGCTGAAGAATTGGCTGCACTCCAAGCAGCGTTTCGACGTGAAGGTGGACCTCGTGGACCCCGCTCCTGGCACGGCGGCTGCGCAAGGGATCACCCTGCAAGGTGTCAACACCCTCGACTTGCCCGGAGGCGTGGAGCGCGAGTACAGGTTCAACATCTACGCCTACCGCGAGGGATCTGCGCTGGCGAGCGTAAGATTCACCAGCCAAGAGACAGGCGAGTACATCATCGTAGACGTAGCGATCAAGTTCTGCGCTCCGGAGAAGCTCGCCACCGTCAGCCTGGAGGCAGCCTGCCGCCAGACGGCGCGCCACAAGATCGCAGTCGCTAATCCCCTCGACACGCCCGCCACGTTCTCGGGCAGCTGCTCGAACCCGTACGTCCGCTTCAGCCCAGACTCGTTGGAGGTGCCCGCGAAGGGTGAGAAGACAATAGACCTGCTCTTCAGGCCTGTGGAGGAGGGCGAGGGCGAGGCCGAGGCAACCCTGAACAGCAACGAGCTCGGCACGTACCCGTACAGAGTGGCGTGGAAGGCCATTCCTGCGGGCTTCGAGAAGACGATGGTGCTTAAGGCCCCTCTGGGAGGCTCCGCCGTTGAGCAGTTCAAGTTCTTGCACTTCGCCAAGGTCCCTGTCACGTATACGGCCACCGTGGGGCCCGCGCCCGGAGGCAAGGGGGACAGTGTGGGAGACTTTGTGCTGGAGGCGAAGGACGTGAAGGCCGATGCGTGCGACTTTGGCCGCGCCGGGCTGCCGTGCGAGCTCGCGGTGCGGTACACGCCCTCGTCGCTTGGGGAGCGGAAGGCAGTGCTCACCGTGTCCGGCCCGGGGGGCGGGGAGTACAGGGCGCTGCTCACGGGCTTCGCGCAGCCGCCGCAGCCGCAGGGCCCCATCGCCATTGTCAACGGCAAGCAAGGAACCGTGGAGTTCAGGAATCCCTTCGACGTCGCGGTGGAATTCTCCGTGAAGGTCGACAACCCGTGCTTCACCGTTCCCCAGAAGGTGGTGAAGGTCGACACCCAGAAGAGCACCAGCATAGCGGTGACCTTCAAGTCGGACAGGAGCCAGAACGGCAGGCTCGTAATTTCTTGCGACGCTACGTCCACGCCTTGGGTCTTCTTCTTGAAGGGAGACGTGTGAGTGGACTCGGTTCCGCACTGGGCAGCTGCTAACTGTGTGTGTGTGTCTGCATGCCGAATAGCATGCTCGGGGTGCCTAGCCCCAGCTGTATCACCCCGTCCCCCCCATCGGGCCAACACTGCTTGGATGCCCGGCATCTTCCCGTCCATCGCTGCGGCACGAGACTGTCGCGACAGGCGTTTGCGTGGATCTCTGCGACCACTGGCCTCCCCTCTGTCTATTCGTCTCGTCCCCTGCCCGAACAATGGCATTGTCCCTCTTCGCAGTTTTGCCTTCATCCAGCTGGTGCAACGGACCCTTCTGCAGCAAATCGAATATTCAGGCTGCCTTCGAGGCAGACAGGCAGCGTCACTCAGCAGCGTCTCGTTATGTGTGACAGCCTCAGACGCCAGGCATTTGCACCAAGATCTTTCACCTTTTTGTTGTCCTGCATGCTGTCCTGAGAGAGGACTCTGACTCATCAGAAGTAGCACTCCTTCTCAAAGGTAGACGCATCCGTTGTCTAACAGCAGTCCGATCGCTGCGGCTGGCCGTGATGCTGTCACTCGTAGGCTGCCGTCGAGGCAGACACGTAGCGCCACAGGCGGTGTTTGCTTGGACTTCCTTGGCCACCTGAGCGACGCAAAAAAAACGGGGTTGTCTGTACCGACATCGGCGCGTAAGTTGCCCGCGTAAGGTCTCGCGTAAGCGTTCTCGTCGCCAATGTGGAGTGCCGTGCCGGTTGCCCGCGTAAGCCGCCGCGTAAGGTCGCCCTTTCATCTCGCGCAAGACCCGTTTCTTTTCGTCGCTCACTTGCTATCTGCGGGAAGGGGAGGAGCGGAAGGGAGGAGGCAGGATGAGAAGGAGAGAACTCCCCTCCCTCTCAGCACCGTCAGCGTCTTATCTGTCAGCCGCCCCGAGAGATGCTGGCGCTCTCACCCTCGCGCGCGGGAGGGCAGCGGTGTGGCGAAGGTCTGCGGTCGCTTCTGTCGGCGCCTTCGCGGCCGGAGAGGAGAACGCTCCATTTGAGCGACGAAGAGCAAAACGGGGTCGACTGCGCCGACATTCGCGCGTAAGCTCCTGGCGTAATGTCGCGCGTGAGCGCTCTCGTTTCCAAAGTAGCGTGCCGCGCCGGCGGCCCGCGTAAGCCACCGCGTGAGAACGCCACGTCATCTCGCGTAAGACTCTTTTTTAATCGTCGCCCCGTTGGTGGCGCCGCTCCCCCACGGCGAACAAGCACGTCCCTCCCTCAAATCCTGCTGCCGTTGCGAAGGACAAAGGAAGCTACAAGGTGGGAGCGGCCAGTAGTCGAGGGACCATCGGGCCAGCACTTGCGCGACCCGGACCCATCGCGCAGATTGTGTGTGTGTTTGTGTGTGTGTGTGTGCGGCGCGCAGCCCGTAGAAGTTTCCACCATGGCGGTTTGCACGACGTGGTGGTGCAGTAGCATCGCGTTTTGCATGATGCGATTGTGCAAAGATGCTGCGTACGGTGCGAAGCGATAGTATACTTGATGAACTCTTGCATTGCACAAAGTGGCTGTGCAACACATTGCGTCTCGTTCAATGCAACTGTTTCCCAATTAGGCGTGGCCTATGGGTCCTCATTCATGTTTGCCAGCATGCACCCCAAACGGTCGGTTATTGCATTCTCGATGTTTTTGTTGCATTGTGCAAGCTGCGGGGTACCACCTATGCGGTGCAACATACGTGGTGTAATCTAGGTGGTGCGACCTTTGTGGTATAATACATCAGTGGTGTGATCTATATGTTACACTTCACTCGTCAACTGTGAAGTGAGCAACTCCAATGCTCGCGCAAGCATCCCATCTGGCAGCAATATGTTGGCAAGGGTAAACTGGGTGGCGACAACGACGAAGACCATGGCGATGGTTGCGTTCATGGCGATGGTGGGAAGGATGTGTGCGATGATGATGATGATGATGATGATGATGATGATGATGATGATGAGGAGGATGATGATGATGAGGATGATGATGGTGATGATGACGATGGTGATGATGCTGCTGCTGATGATGATGATCGTTGCCAAAATGATGGTGGCAGTGATGCTGCTGGATGCGGGTGGTGGTGACGATGATGGTGGTGGTGATGATGATGATGCTGGTGCTGGTGAGGATGATGAGGCATTACACCACCGTAGAAATTTGATGAGGGCGGCGACGCCGACGATGACCATGATAACGATGCCGAGGATGGCGGCGGCTGTGGTGATGATGACGACTGTGGCAATGGTGACACTGGCGATGACGACAACAAGTGTGTTGATGGCGATGGCGTGGAAGGACGCGCTCGCACCAACTCGGAGTTCTTGACGCCTGGCCCCCCCCCCCCGACATCCCCTGGGATGGGCAACGGGCCGCAGTGGCCAGAGTGGTGTACCATTTTATGAGATCCAACGGGAAGTACCAAAGCAAATGGGAGAGTTTCGCAGCCAACCTGACAGAGCAGAAAAGCCAATGCCCCTTCCGACAGCGTACCAGCACACTACTCACTTTCCTCATGAAGATTGACCAGGCCGCCTTGGCCTACGGTACTGCCGCTGTCCTGACCAAGCGTGACCCGCGCGAGGCCGTAGTAGGCGTGCCAGGGCGAGGTGATTCACCAGCAGCAACCTGGCTGAACAGAGCGGCCGGTACCGAGGACCCCCCCCCAGCAAGCAGTGTTGTACTGACACGAGAGGACATCTCTGCCCATGCCACCAGAGCCTCCCCCCCCGCCACAGACGGGGGACGCGGCCCTCATGCAGAGGGGAGGGCCCCAACAGGCCAGGCATGCAAGCCCGAATGCGAACCTGACGGGATCGACTGAGGAGGGGAAGGAGACAAGAAAAGCGAAACCGACGGCGCCAAAGACCCGACCCCAGAGCTCAGCCCGACGCCGGTGGCCGACGACGAAGAAGGGGACCCCCTCAAACTCTTCCCTGAGACACCCGTCAGGCCCGACGCCTGGTCCCCATACGACATCGTCGTTGTCAGGAACGCCCTTCGTATAATCAAAAGCGCGGAAGACAGCCCACGAAGAGCAGTCAGCGCAACTTGGAACATCAATGACGTCAGGGATGACCGTGCCCTGAACCGCGGGAGCGGTGACAAGGGCCGCCAGCGACCCGCGTGGGACGACGGCAAGATTGAGGACGGCCGCGCCACCAAATCCCCAAGAGGCGACCTGGCACGGGTACCCATTTCCGAGGCGCCCTGGAAGGATGTAAGGGACACACGCCCTCCCCTAGGCAACCCGAGCGACCCCATGGGGGGCATTCCCAGGTACATGTGCCCCGTTGCCGAGGCCGACGTCACCAAGGATGAACCAGTGCAGGAGAAGATAGTACGCCTTCAAAAGACGCTGGGAGGAGCGTTCAACGGAGTTTGGGCCGCATGGGTGAAGAAGGCCGCCATGAAGCAAGGGACCAGCGGCAGCGAAAAGCACCACCCCAAACGCAACACAGCCCAGTTGTGCGACGAGTTCATCCAGGCGTGGGGTAGCGCAGGGTACGACGTCTACAAGATGGACAGAGACCAAAGGCTCGGCGCCCACCGGCCGTCGGTCAAGGACAAGCACACGAAGCTCCTCCAACGCGAACCCAAGACACACGCTCAGCGCGGGCCCGCCAGCAGCAGTGCACCCGCTCCCTGGACAGCAGAAGGCAAGGCAGCCGCGTCGGCACCCGGGCGTGAGCGCTGGGCAGGCGCCATCGGCACCGGCCCCCCCCCCCGTTGGCACGAATGGCAGGAGTGGGGATCCTGGAGCCACCAGATAGCACCGTGGACGGAAACTGACTGGAAAGGGAAAGGCAAGCGCTACTCCCCTAGGGGAGACGGCCCATATATAGACAAGCGTGCGCGATGGTGGGACAGGAGGGACTAGTACACCCAGGGGGGGACAGGCTCGGGCTGGCTGGACAGCGTGCCCACCGACCTCCCTGCCCGTCGCGCGCCTGACCCCCCACCTCGCTGCCCGCGCGCGCGTCGCTCCTGACCTCCCTCCTGCGGCCATCGCGAGCCGACGCCAAGCCAGCCGATGCCTTCGCGCCTTCACCCTCGGAGTGTACTTCCTCATTGACAGTCGACGGCGACATCCTTGCAGTCAGCTTGATGCGCGCGTCCGGTTTGTTCTTGCGAGTTGCCTTATGCGCCACCTCGGCGTCCGCCTTGGTTCGGGCCTCCGCTTCTCTCTCCCTCCTCCTGAGCTCGCTCGGCGACGGGGGCGGGCACTCCGGCGACGACCCGCCGCTCCCCGAAGCAGGAGCGGCAGCGGCCGCAGCGGCTGCAACAACAGCGGCAACATCGCCAGATGGGGCCTGCTTCTTAATCTTCCTCAATCTCGTTCTGGCCGTTGGGCACCTTCTCGCAGTACTTGCAGTGGTTGACGCCGCCCTCTGCCCAGTCCTGTCCGTTGTGCCAGCCGCCGCGCTTGTCGCGGCAGTTGCCTGGCTTCCAGAGCTCCTTCAAATCGCTATGCTCCAGGTAGGGGCATCCTGGGTTGAGGCATGGGGCGAGCGTCCTAGCTCGAGCCTGCCCCTCCGCCTCAGCCTGCGCCACCTTAGGTCCTGCCGCCGCCGCACCTGGCGAGCTGGCTGCTCCAGGCGTGGGCGTGCCAGGGCCCTCCGCCGTCCACTTGCCCCAGCCCTCGTCGTCGTCCACTGCGCCTGTCCGACCGGCTGGCTCCACTTCCCGCGCCGCTCTGCGCATGCCGAGCTTCGCAGACCGGTCCGTGACTGCGCCCCAGCGTGTACCAGCACGTCCTGCAACAATAGAAGACAGGGGTCGACAGCTCCGGCAGCCTCCTCCCGCAGCCCTCCATACGGCAGACGCCCTCCTCCTCTGGGTTAATCCTTCTACGCCTAGCGCGGGCTTCGCCCTCGGTCTCCCGTAGCTGAGCTCCTCCGGCCACTGGGTGTCCCTGAAGTCCCGCCCCTCGCGGTCCTGTCCGATGCAGACGTACGACACGTCACTGATGCGATGCTGCCCTCCGCCGTGTTCACGTCCGCCTCTATGCCGC